AGCGAACATATTGATTGTTTATGATACAAACTGATACTGTGTCGTAGATTTTTCGTAATATTTATATAAATCCATTCTCCTTTGCCCCACCCAACGTTGGTCAGTAATTATTATCGATTTTGAGAAATTGAACTTGAAAAAAACAATTCCTTCTATGTAATCCAATTTCGATATATTTATTTGAAAAACCATATTATTAAATTGAATAAAATTATTGATTATTTGTTACTAGTTATACTTTATATTTTTTTTTGTGTTTAATTTAAATAAAATAATGTAAAGTAATAATAATTGTATGGCCATAATTTAATATAAATGAAATTTGGTATAAAAATTATAAAACAAATAAATATATAATTATTACTTTAAAAAAGTGTTATTTAACTGAAGAGTAAAATTGTTTGTATAAAATTGTCTTTAAAATATTTATATGACATTTTTTTATGAATAAGAAATAGTCTAATATTTTTATAATAAAACGAATTGTATTGTAGAAATATTTTTTATTATCTGAAATGCAAATAATCGCCCTGATCAAATATTTTTTATAATTAACAAAAAGCTGTGTTATATTTAAGTTTATATAAATTTTAATAACAAACATAATTTGTATAGACATGATGCAAATGACATTGATGATTTACTATCATAATTTAAACAAAGTATGTACATATGGTTACATTTTTATATCAGATAATGGAAACAATATAAACACTAATAAGAATTAACGTATATATTTTACAATATTTTATTTAAGAATTATGTTAAAATTAGGGTCGATAATAAAAAATACTTCTATATGATGAAATAAATATATCATATTATCTATCATAATATTTTGTAATATTTAAAATTTATTTTACTATTCCCAATATTGATAATAAGCTTTTAGTTTTACTATATTTTTTATTTTTACGTAGCAGAAAATAGTTTTTTTGCCAAATATATTTATACGAGAAATAGTATACGAGTAGCCTTGGTTTTCCATAGGTGAAACTAGGTCAAACTTAGGTGTGTCCATACATTCGTCGTTGCCGAATAGAGAAAACAATAATTATTACTACAAAATAACTAATTTATTGCTGCAAAAAAATATTATTAAATACCTTTGTACAAACTTATTAAAACTTCACAGGTATATAAAATTGTGTATACTATATTACAAAAAAAGTAATTTATTAAAATATATATTATTTATTCAATATTTTTGCCACATTTATTTTATTGGTATAAAATCTAAAAATTTAGAAGTTAAGTCAGTGATTCTCAACATTTTTTTTTTGTGGCGGCACACCTTTAACGATTTCAAAATGGAATATCTGACATTGTGAACTAATTTGAAGTATTCTCGATCTGGAGTATATAAAGTAGTATTTATTTAACACTTGGATGACTTAGTTCTTAATCTAGCTTCCAGTTGCTAACCATTAGGGCTAGAACTAACCTTTAATTATAAAATTGTAGTCTTATACGTAAGAAGACGTACTGTATACAGAAGAATAGTCATTTAGAAGAAGTGGAAAATAACCCGCAATAAACAAATATATCGGTCGAGCCTGTTAGTCTGGGAACTAATCTTGTAGTAGTCATATACCTTCGGGTAAAGATGTGAACAAATACAATTAATAATCATAGTTAAATCATAAATAATCATAAATTGGGACTGAATAGTATCCTCATGAAGAGCATGCACAAATATAATCAGTAAATAACTAAATGGAAGACTCAATATAAGTATTGACAAATGCAATAAATAATCATAATTAAACAATTAATGTTATTAGAATGATAAACTTATATAATTGAAATTAGTAATGCATTTTATTGTGCTATATACAATTCAGAGTAGTGCATATCTAATTAAAAATTCAGTATCTCTTTTTTTAGTAAAAAGAATTTTGCATTTCTAATTTATGGTCCACATAACATATTGAACGAATTGGATGTCGTCCAGGTTAATATAAAAGCGTGTGCGAATTTATGGATTAGTATCAATTTGAATCAAACGAATTCAACATGTTCGCTAAGGTAGCTATTAGTGCATAGAGAGAGTAACCCCAATATTAAAAAAACTTTATATTTTTAGATTTTGGCTGTTTCTGCTTTGGTAGCATGCGCTCATGCCGGAGTAATTGGAGTCGGACACCATGCCACATCCTACTCGTCCCTCAGTGGTGCCCCAGTAGCCCACTACTCCGCCGCCCCAGAAGCTGCTCACTACAGCGCCCCAATCACCGCTTACCACGCCGACCCAGCTTTCGTTAAGACCTTGGCCCCAGTTGCTCATTATGCCGCCCCAGTTGCTGCCCACTACGCCACCCCAACTGTCTTCAAGTCTGTAGCTCCAGTAGCTCACTACGCCACCCCAAACGTCAAGGCTGTTCACCAAGAAGTATACCCAGATACCCACCCAGAATACTCTTACCAATACGGAGTTCAAGACGCTGTAACCGGTATGTCAAACCGTGTAAGTGCCATACGGTTCAAGAACCAACACGAAGAACGTGACGGAGATGTTGTCAAGGGATACTACACCTTGGTCCAACCTGATGGTGTCACCCGTACCGTCCACTACACTGCTGATGCCCAAAACGGTTTCAACGCTGAGTCGAATACAAGGGAGAACCAATCGTCCAAAAGGCCGTCGTTGCCAAAGCCATCATCCCAACCAAGACCATCGTAGCTGCTCCAGTTTACAATGCCTACCACCATTAAGAAAATCTAAAATTGACCTGTATATAAGAATAATAATAAAAGTTTTATTATTAAATTATAAAAATAAATAAATTATACAATTCAACTACATTTTTTATTTCTATCCTCTAATTCTATCCTCTATTTCTAACTAAATGCAATAGTTATTTACGTACTTTTGTCAAACATTTAGATATTTATGTACATATTTTACTTATCCCCCAGCGGAAAGCCCTTGCTCCTGCGCTATACAATATTTATACAAATGACATTGACGGACATAGACAGGGTATTCTATACGGTCACAGGGAGGAGACGGCGTTGCAGAACAGCATTAGCAACAATATAATTAAACTACTAAACATGATACTATGACAATCTATTAACAATAAACTAGACAAAAACACATTACATGATCCTACAATAAATAAATGCTAGCAAGATCCAACTAAACATCACCATAAACAATATCAACATAAAACAAGTAGAAAAGAAAGATACTTTGGAATACTATTAAACAATAAACTGGGTACGGACGACCACATAAGCATACAAAAAAATGAACAAATATCTCCCGGACAACATGATGGCAAAAAGAATAATAAAAAAGTGTTTAATAAATAATGTAAAAATTATAAATTAAAAAAAAATAATAATTTAAGATTATGCCTGACATACGTTTATCGTTTATTCTCACAGTACAGAAACTAAACTGCCTTAAATAATTAGAATCTTGATATTAAATAATTTGTTAAATCATAAATATCAACTAAATTAATAATTAAAATTGCTAAGGAAAATTGGCCGTTGAATCAATTATGCTTATCATATTTGTTGCACTGGGAAATATATTAAGCAAAATATATATGTATACATTCATTTCGTGATTGTAACATATTAATTAAATAAAACAATTTCTTCATGTTTGACCAACCATTATATTCATACAATATAAAGGAACTAATACATATACCGTGAATAATAGAAAATAGCATGTAGTAGGATTAAAGAAAATGGGCTTTCCACGAAAAGTACATCTATTATATTTGGTTGTTTATTTCTTTTTAGGTATTATAGTTTATAATTTATATTATAATTACCTCTGAATGTAACCTTGTATTTTCTCATATTCTGAAAAATAAATTATATTTTAATAGAACCAATTGCAACCAATAGAAATAAAAATAAATAAATAGACAAATAACAATTAAATAAAAGTTTCCTAGATGCAGAAAGAAATAAATAAATAATGTCAGTGACTATTTTTTTTATTCACGACTTGCCAACATCTCTGGCAATAAGTCGAATGTTTTTTTGGCCAAGACAGAAAAAAAAAGAAAATAAAAACAGAAAAAACAAAATAAAAAGCATGGAG